GTAACTTTTCCTCTATGTTGCTATTCTCAAATTAATACGGACCAAATTGTTTGCTCAACAATGGAGAACGTAGTTATTTTGTATACCTAAGAACTCAACAATGCAAGGGAACAAGGTTCTCCGTATAAATGAATCTCATGTTTCAAGACAATCTCATGTTTCCAAACATTGATAATTTCATTTCATGCATTTGTGATAATTACATTCATATAATAGTATTTTACTTTGTTTATGTTTTGTCTTATCATTCATAAGGATCATGTTGATGTAAGACTAAATAATTCTCTTAAAAAATATTTCACGTTAATTTTGTTTTTAGCTTAGTTTTTTAGTTGAATAAACAAATAATTTTTCTTTTATAATCATTTAATTTTGTAATAAAATAAAATATATAATAAATAGTTTTTTAATTTCATATATATATATATATATATATATATATAATTTAAAATTTATACAAATTTTTTTTAGATGTTTTTTAAAAAAATAACCTCATAAAAAATTACCTGCGAATTTAAAATTAGCAAGAAATTTCCTGCAAATATAAAATTACCAATAAATTATTTGTAAATTTAAAATTACTTGCGAATTTGAAATTGGTAAAAATTTACATGCAGATTTAAATTGCAAGAAATTATATACAAATTTAAATTTGCAAAAAATTACTTACGAATTTTTTCACACAATTTTGTAAAAAAATTTTGTGAATATTAAATCCCTGGATAATTTATTATCCACAAGCTAATTAGGTGCTAATAAAAATTTGTATGAAAATTCTCAAGAAACTTATTTTCTGCGAATTTTGACAAAAAATTGGTAAAAAAATCCCATAAAAATTAAAAATTTCTAGTAGTGATGGTAATATTTAAAATTTTATTCTTGAGTTATTATAACACTTAACTGAATTATTGAAGGTGATAATGAAATTGCAGGGAATTAAAGATATGATGTGATTTTGACAACAACAATGATTTGCTTTGATGCCTTTTTTTGGAAGGTTTTTAAAGTTTTGAATTATTTATATTGTTTGACACTTTAATATTTGAGTTTAGTCATTCACACTTTTTCATTTGAATTTTAGGATTAAAGATTTGATATAATTCCGACAATGACAAAAATTTGCATTGCAATTGTTGGTCTTTTGTTATTCAGATTACCTAAGAAAGATCATCGTGCAGGGAAGATCTTTCAAGTCTAACAAGGTTGGAGATATTCTACCAAAATTTGTGCGAGTAAAAATATATTTGTAAGTAATTATAAATTTAGTTAATTTTGAACTCTTGTTATTGTTTGCTATAAATGAAATATAAAGTATTGTCTTAAAATGAATAGTAGTAATAGTACATTAATTTTAAATAATAATATTGTTTGCAGGGAATTTGGGGAACTTTTCTAACCAGGTGTTGCATCATTTTTATTTTGTAACTTTTCCTCTATGTTGCTATTCTCAAATTAATACGGACCAAATTGTTTGCTCAACAATGGAGAACGTAGTTATTTTGTATACCTAAGAACTCAACAATGCAAGGGAACAAGGTTCTCCGTATAAATGAATCTCATGTTTCAAGACAATCTCATGTTTCCAAACATTGATAATTTCATTTCATGCATTTGTGATAATTACATTCATATAATAGTATTTTACTTTGTTTATGTTTTGTCTTATCATTCATAAGGATCATGTTGATGTAAGACTAAATAATTCTCTTAAAAAATATTTCACGTTAATTTTGTTTTTAGCTTAGTTTTTTAGTTGAATAAACAAATAATTTTTCTTTTATAATCATTTAATTTTGTAATAAAATAAAATATATAATAAATAGTTTTTTAATTTCATATATATATATATATATAATTTAAAATTTATACAAATTTTTTTTAGATGTTTTTTAAAAAATAACCTCATAAAAAATTACCTACGAATTTAAAATTAGCAAGAAATTTCCCGCAAATATAAAATTACCAAGAAATTATTTGTAAATTTAAAATTACTTGCGAATTTGAAATTGGTAAAAATTTACATGCAGATTTAAATTGCAAGAAATTATATACAAATTTAAATTTGCAAAAAATTACTTACTGAATTTTTTCACACAATTTTGTAAAAAAATTTTGTGAATATTAAATCCCTGGATAATTTATTATCCACAAGCTAATTAGGTGCTAATAAAAATTTGTATGAAAATTCTCAAGAAACTTATTTTCTGCGAATTTTGACAAAAAATTGGTAAAAAAAATCCCATAAAAATTAAAAATTTCTAGTAGTGATGTGCTTTTAGCCATTCGTTTACCCTACCTGCCAAAGAAAAATGAAATAATATCAAATATGCAGATTCAAGATTTGCTGCTCTAAATCCCATGGTACCAATCAACTCATAAAAAGTAGACAAATGAATATAAGGGTCTTCATGATCCAATCCAGTGAATTGATGAGCGAGAATCAAGCTTAAGAAAGTCTGGATTCATCTCGCAATATATGATCATCCGGAATGACAATGCTCGGAAAAATATCTTGGACCTTGCTGCATAGCACAATTTCTAAAAGTTCTTCTAGGTGGATTTGCATTTGGGTTTTGATTTGGATTTGTATTTGGATCTGGATTCGATTTGCTCCTTCTTCCGCCATATCTTCTATAATTGGATTTGGTAAATCAAGTGTGAAAGAAGAATTAGCAGATTCTCTTGTAGTTTGTTCTTGAGTTTCCCTTCTTCTGAAGATACATTTCCTCTTAAACGCATAAATCAAAAGAGTAACTCAAGCAAATATTAGCACAAACTAAAAACTAAATAATAATAATAATAATAATAATAATAATAATAATAATAATGATAATAATAATAATGATAATAATGATAATAATGATAATAATAATAATGATAATGATAATAATAATAATGATAATAATGATAATGATAATAATAATAATAATAATAATGATAATAATAATAATAATAATAATAATGATAAAAAAACGAAATAAAAATAAAATACTCAATAAGCTAAACAAAGAATTCTCAAAGAACACCGTTCCCAAGAACTGCGCAGTAAATACTTGTTGAATTATTGGCAAGCGTACCAAAATTATCAATCGCAGTATAGTATTTCGATAAAATAAAAGTCGATCCCACGAGGAACAGTTTCAATGGAAATTCCCAATTATGCTTACTAAGTAGATTAAAACAGATTAGGTTTTGCAAATAAGAGTTGAATTGAAATTAAATGACAAAGAACTGTAAATTGTTGAGAAAATATCAATTAAAGGTACTTAGGATTGACTTCCTTCCTTATCCCTCTTTTGTAATGACTATGTCAATTAAGAACGTCAATTAACCTAACAATGTTGATGCCACCTACTCAAATCATCCATGATTCCTCACACATGAAATTCATAAGAAAACCTAATAAATGTTGATTCCTCACACAATTAAGAGATTTTCTAGCATTAGGGTTATAGTGTTTAAGCACTTGATACATTCATTCCATTCCTGGCAATTAACGTAACAAATATTCTTACCGTGATCTAGGGTTCAAGATATATTTTCCAATCATACCTCAAACAATCAAGAATAAATCATTCCAAAGCATAAAGGATAAGAATAACAACATCAAAGCATAGATTAATATCTCAAAATATCACCATGATACAAAAGAGTTCAAAGGAAGTGCACCGAATCCTAAGAGAATGAAGTTAGCCACTCATGTTGGTCATTACAATGCTCCAATTGATGAAGTGAAGAATTGATGAAGATTAGACAAAACCCTAACAGTAGTCGTGTCTCCTCTCCTCCAAGACTGATTCCCTTCTCAAAACACATCTAATCTTTTTATAAGAGAATTTGGGTCGGGTCTCGCATCATTCATTCGCTTAAGTGCTCTTCTTTCTTTCACTTTTACTCCAATTATGCTCCTTACTCTTGTATCAAGGTATTCTCGAATTTATCATATATTAGGAGAAAAATATATTATAATTAACATAAGTTAAGTGGTTTTATAATAATTTAAGGCATAATTATATCAACTTTTTACCACTTAACAATTATTGATCATGATTCCTAACCATGTCTATGAAAAGAGTTTTTCCTTTTTCTTCATAAAAAAACAAAAAGGATTTTTGTTGAGATAGATCATACCTACTTATTAAATACTTTTCTATGTTTACATAACCTTGGTGTTTATCTTACATTTTGTTTTACTTAGAACTTCTAATCAATTTTCATGTGAATCTAACCATTAATTAATAGTACATTTAATCTTTTAATCTCTTAGAATTTTTATTAGATTTATAGGTTTCATTACAAAAAAAAGAGAAAGAATTGAAAAAGAGATTGAGCCTGGGTAATTTTGGGTCTAAGCTTGAGTAAGGTTGAGTAAGAGAATAACAATGTGACTTTCAGGAGCTGCTTTAAAAAGGATTTTGAGGAATTTAATGACAATGAAAAAAATATAAACCAGAATAGATTCTGGAAAGTATTACGGAAGAATAAAACTTAAAGATGCAATTTTATATATGAACTTTGGTTTGCAGGATTTATACTGGATGAAGACCTTGGAGTTTCCATAAGGAATACTATGTTTGGCTTCCATTGAGTTCTTCTGTATTCTGATTCTCAATTCCATGGAATTCATAAAAAGTGATTTTTATGAAGTGACATTATTGTTTTACTCCTCGTCCCTATGTCATGTATATAAAAGAAAGATCATGTTTGTGTGTTTGTATATAGATGAAATTATGTGAAAGAGAAAAAAAAATATATATATATATACATATATATATATATATATATATATATATATATATACATTTATTACATCTGGATTAGTTTTTTTTTTTTAATTCTGAAATGTGTAAAGAATTTAATCATTTTTTTAATTTCTCTCTTAAAATATGAGCCATTCAATTAATCCAATGGTTTATATTTTGTTTGGAGATAATAGGGGATAAAATCACAGTGGAGAGGATCCCAATTTACATCACAGAGATTTGAAATAGAAAACAACAATGAAAGTTGGCAAAGAGTGTCCAGAAATCTTTCACAGAAGCGCTTCCCAGCTTCCTCTTCGAACCACTTCAGCATTTCTGAAGCCAAAACGCGATTCCAGTGAAGTCAAAATCACGTTTTCACCTTTCCATTTCTCGATTTCATTTTCTCTTCGCAACTCCGATTACGCATTTGCGTTACGCGCGGGAATGAACGTTCCTCGCATTCTGGAAAACCCTCGAACAGCGCCGGTAACTGCAATTTCAAAGCCATTTAAGGTTTCTTTGCACTTGAAAATACTCTAATCCATGGACGGTGACGACGACCCTTCTTCACTTGCATGGCTTTGGGTCATTGAAGCCCTATCAGCCTATAAAGAAATCTCTAACACCACTTTGCAGGGTAAATAGTCCACGCTTCAAGCAATACCCAATAACCTCGTTTCCTTTCCTTTTAATTTCGTTTTTTATGAATAATTTCATGATTACTGGTGTTGTTATTGATGATGTAGGTTTGATTGATGCAGCACCTACGGGGAATGATAAATTTAGTGAAAAGACAAAGGAAATGGTTTCTTTAAGGTGTTTGGAAATGTCCAGAATTCAAATGTCTTAGTTGAATAAAAACGCGAAAATTAAGGAAGTTATAAAAGAACCGACAATGACTTAATATTTTGAGTAAGTGGAAGGTGGTGTTATGTAATTCGTGTTACATGAGAATTTCTTTATTGATAGTCTCACGGAAGGTGATACAAGTAACTTCATTAAAAAATATTAAGAGAGCGGTACAATTAAAATAATTAAAAGACACTTAAAGTCTCTCGAAAGATAATACAAGTAAAGTCGTTAAAAAATATTAAGAGAACGGTACAAGTAAAATAATTAAAAGACATTTGAGATGTGTAGACAAGATGAAATATTTATTATTTGTGAGGAAATTATATTTTTATGTATTTGTTAAGTATTTTATGTTTACCTAATAATGAAATTTTAAGTATTAATATGTGTGTGGGTTTTATTTATCAGTATCTAAACAATGATTATCACATTATTAATAAAAAGACAATATTTATAATTATATTGTTAATTAGATATATATTAGAATTTTGTGGGGGAAGATTGAATCTTTATATGATTTTAAGGAAGCAATAATAAATTGTTTGATAAATTTGAAGAATAAGGAGAGTTCTTCTATTTTACATTATGAGTTTAATTGTCGGAATGAATATAAGTTTTAATGATGAAGTTTTTGGATTATGGCTATTCAATATTCTATCAGAGTCTTGAGAGGTATTTCGAGTTTTAATGACAAAATCAACCTCTAATAACATTGTTTCTTTTCAAATGACAAAAAGTGGTGCTCTTAATGAAGAGATGAGAAGGAAGACACGTGATTTTTCATTTTAGTCTAAGGTGTTTGTCACTGAAAATATAATGTGCTTGTCACTGAAAATATGAGATTTTTGTTACTGAAAATAAGAGGAGAGGTCATAAAAAAGAACGAAAGGGTGATAAAGATAAGAATAGGAACAACTTCAAGACAAGATACAAAAATATAGTGTCATTATTATAATAAACCAGGACACATTAAAAAATACCAATTTAAGTGGAAAAAGGATAACAAAGGCAAGAAGGACAAAAGGAAAGAGAATAATCATAATGACTATGAGTCAATTAATCTTATATTTGATGAGAATATGTAAATTATTGATAGTGATAATACACTGCACGTTACACCAAGAAAGAAATTCTAACATGAGAGTGTAATTATTACTCAAAGGAGTCAAACATGCTCAAGATGTTTGTTTTAATCTAATATCAGCACATTTTGATACTTGTGGTTATGACAATCACTTTGGTTCTGGTAAATGGAAGTTCACTAAATGTAACTTGATCATGGCTAGAGGGGAGAAAAATTTTAAATCATATTGGACTAAAGTTTTGGTTGTTAAAGGACAATATGAATATTATTATAGGAGACATTTGTGATACTGAAAACTTGGTCATATAAGTGAAAAAAGTCATTACTAAAGTTTTCTCTCGAGAGGGTGGTGTACCAATATGAAAAGAAAATCACATTTGAGGAGAAAATTATTGAGAATTCAAGTGTATTTTGGATAAAAATAAGAAAATTGGGTAACTTATTATAAGTGAAAAAGACCTATAACCTAATGTATAAGGTTTTTGGTTGAATGTGGTATTATATTTTTTTATATAGTTGACTCGTGTCTTATTTGTAAAATTTTCTCTATTGTTAGCTCCCTCCTTAAACAACGGTATAAGTAAGGTTATTAATGAGTACTCATGATTAGAGAGAGGGTAGTATACATATATGAAAGAGAATCACATTTGAGAGAAAGAAATGTGTTGGGTTGGACTCCTATCTATATGTCTAAAAAACCTATACTAATCAAGTATATTTTATATCACTTAGCCTAACTAGAGAGAAACTCAAAGGACCAGATAGAAGAAAACCTCCACTAGTGTGGTTGACCATAAAGCTTCTCTCCATCGGATTATGAGATAAAATAATTTCAAATTTAAAGTATGTGCTTGATATAACTGTAGGAAGTGTTAGAGAAGAATTTGACTCGGTTTGATATTAGTACAGATAAGGATGTTTGGTTGTTGTTGGCTAAAATTGATTTTGCATTTAAATCTTGGTTTGAGCAAAGTGATAAAATGTAAATTGAGAAAAGGTGAAAAAGTTTACTCTAAAGTTTTATTTGAAACTTGCTTCTGGATAAAACCATATAAACATAAATTACATAGCTTCAAAGTCAATTTTATCCCAAATCAATTTTGCACATGTACACCCAAATACACATTTAATCACCTGTGACGTGGTTTACTTACACTGTAAGTATGTTAGAAGTTATATGAACTAATTTGGATACTCATATTATGTTCCTGTTCTTTGAGAAACATTTTCAGTGTTTATAAACAATGACTTAAGTTGCACTTAATTTCCACCTTATTTCCTGTTTAAAGATTTATAGTGGAAATAATGAAAACATGATTTTTGTTGTTTCCATGGTTTTGGTACTTCATTTTTCACATTTGAAGATACATCTTTATGAATATGCTAATTAAATCTCGCTCATTTCTTTACGTAATGTATTAAGCAGATCTCATTATCAAATCTTAAAATGACTGGAGCAGAGCTTTTGAAATCGGATGTTTGCCCATTTATAAATCACAAAAGAGCTACCACTTTTAAATGTCACTCGGGCATTTTTGGTTGGAGTGATTTGGCACACTGGAAATGGAAGTGGGAAACGAGTGATTTGAAGAAAAATGAAAAAAAAAATAAAGTTATTTGGATGAAGGAAAATTGAGGAGAAAATTTATAAAAAATTGTGAATAATTTGATAGATATGAGATATAAAAATTATAATTTTAATGGATTATTTAAAAAAATTACCATTTTATCTTTTTTATAAAATAAGGTTAAAATTATTATAAATATAATTTTTTTTCCACATTTTAACTTTCATCGTATATTTTTGGAAGAAAAAAAATAATAAATTTTTTTATACTGATTGTATGTGGAAAAAAAATTTACAAAATTAAATTTTTTAAAATAATTATTAAAATTTTTATAAATAAACAATTACAAAATTATTTACACTACATATACATAAAAAAATAATTTATATACATAAAAAAATAATTTTGACATATTAAACAAATTATTTGACTAATAATTAAATGATTATAAATTAAAAAATAATAATTAATATTGACTAATAATAATAAATAATTATAACAATTAATAATATAATTATAAATTATTATTTTAAATAAATATAAAATATAATAAAAATAAAATAATAATTAAATAAAAAATTAATGTAAACTTAATACTAAAAATATTTATTATTTAATTAAAAATTATATTAATATATATTTTTGTCATATTTTTATACTTTCAACACATAATTAAAAATATATATATATATATATATATATATATATATATATTTTTAACATTTCAATTTGTCCCTATCTTTTCTTGATGTATCAGGGAGGAATCTCTTTGTCCGATCTTCTATTCTTCTCTCGCTTTTATTTCGTTGCTGTTGGACCAAACAAACGTGTATCATCTTCGTATTTTTATATTCATCAACAGTACAGAGCAGGTAATGGAAATGTCTTTCTTTTGAGAACTCTCCCATATGAGCTGTACGTTTTCATTTTCACCACTTTCGTTTGATCTGGTTCTTTTATTAATGCTGAATAGCTGAGAGAAACAATCTTGGAAGGTACTCATCCACATACTAATTACTTGAAAGAAATGTGTGCAACTTTTATTTTTTGTCCTGATTACTTTGAAAAACCTTTTAATTATTGTAATTTTCATAGTGTTTGCTTCACCAATTTTGGTCCCAAAAGGATCATTTAGTAATTCATATGGTATAACAACTAAAATAGTTTGAATAAATGACGTATAAAGAACTAAAAGAATAGAATCGGTCTTGGAATCAATCTAGAAGATTGTTGGAGGCAGTCTTTTCAGGATGATGTATATGAACCTTTTGGCTCAATTCAGAAACAAATATTTTCCCTAAAGTCAGTCAACTTCAAGAAATCAAGTATTAATGGGTTGTTTTATAGTGTTGATTTAGTCATAATTTACCCACCACCAACACCATTACACTAAAATCAACTTATTATTAGACAAACCATGCATTCACACAGAAAATGCATTAAAGCAAATAAAAAATTTAGTGGAATCAATGACATTATTTCACATGGTACTGTATTGCATTGTCGTTTTGTACGTGGAAACATGATACACCAAACCAAACCACCAGAAAATATAGTTTTCCAGCAGTGTTATAAAAAGCGTAATGAGAGACATGATTCCGAATGCAAGTATTCTTACCAACTTCCAATTGCATTCTTGTCTCCCTAAACTCATGGCCGAAACACTTCTCTTTAGCTTGGCAGAATCGCTCATAGGGAAGCTTGCTAATCGTGCCGTTGAAGAAGCTTCTTCGGCACTTGGTGTGTATGGCGAGCTAAAACAGATGAAAGCAACTATGACACTCATCAAAGGTGTGCTGTTAGATGCCGAGCAAAAGATGTCGCAGAGCAGTGCATTGAGCGAATGGCTGAGACAGATCAAGCACGTCTTCTCCGACGCCGAAGACATAGTCGATGATTTCGAGTGTGAAGCGCTGCGGAAGCACGTTGTCAACGACTATGGTAGCTGCTCAAGGAAGGTACGCCGTTTGTTCTCTTCAAGTAATCCTCTTGTTTATCGTCTTAGAATGGCGCATCAGATAAAAGATATCAGAGAGAGGTTGGAGAAAGTTGCAGCTGATAGGAACCTGTTTGGCCTTCAAATCATTGACCAAGATACACGTGTTGTTCGCGTGAGGGAAATGACCCATTCTCATGTAAACCCTTCCAATGTTATAGGAAGGGAACATGATAAACAGAAAATCATAAAACTTTTGCTACATGATGTTCATCACGAAAGTCTCTCTGTAGTTCCCATTGTGGGAATGGGAGGATTGGGAAAGACCACACTTGCAAAGTTGGTGTTCAGTGACACCAGCATTCAAGAATGTTTTCCGTTGAAGATGTGGGTGTGTGTCTCAAATGGTT